AAAGCTTCTCTTTAAAAATGCATACCACTTATACAACTTTCTTTAGAATATATTAAACATCTTTGTATAATATTTAAGATATTCTTATACCAAAAAGTCTTAAACTTTTTAAGACCCTTTTAATTTATTTATTTTTAAAGGATGTTAGTTTGATCCTAAAATTGCTATTTCACCTTAAAAATTTTCTACATGTAGAATGTAATGTAAATTTAACAGAAGTTCTGTGTTTCCATGACAGATGGCGCTAGTACATATGTAATGTAGAAAATAAGGTTCAACTTTAAAGGCAAAATATAATTTGAAGTTTTAAATCAAATTTAATTAGAAAAAGAACTACGATTGATAAATATTCTTAAAATGTTCAAACTAGAAATTAAATTATATTTATATTTTATAGGTAAATACAAGTATAATACAGAATTTCTTAGTTAAACCCACAAAAGGCGGGTTCCTAATGGGAAACTGTGAATACTCGAAATTCTTAATGCCCACAATGCTAAGCATCACTTCTCCTTCGCCTCGCTGACCAGATCTTTCCGATTCCCAGCTATATATATATATATATGTATATACATGCATCCTACTTATAACCCTTTGCTGTAGGCTATATATCTATAGAGCTGCAACTTAATGAAGGCCCCTGCTTGATTTTCGCTGATTGTCTTCGCAGACAGCGCAAATTTAAATCAACGACATCCGGGCAGCACATATTTTGCGCCACTTGGTGTTGTGCAAAGAAGAAATATTTATCATCATCTCTCATATCTCTCGCTGTCTCGCATATCTGCCTAAATATTCCTCTGCAAGCCCCATCTAATTGAGTGTGAGCTGCTTTGACGTTTGTGCCTAAAGAATTTTAATTAAATTAGGTCCGCCGGAGTATTTTCTCTCTAGAGAAGCGAGAAATGCGGGTGACCAGCATCAGTACCAACTATTCCTGAATCACACACACACCCCTTCTGCTGGCTGGCAGGAATCGACCCCTATAATGCCAGATATAATATTAATAAGAGCTTTATGTCGAATTCATGTCACAGCCAGAATTATTATTGGCAGAACGCTGGGAATTATTATCCAGGGAGAGCCGCCATGTTCATGACCAGATTCAATTAGTGTCGACCCGTACAAGGGTGTGGAAAGGGAAGGGAGCGGAGTGAGTGTCTAGCTCGCACTCATTATGGGTTATCAGACTACCAAACTTTCCATTCCATGCCCATGTTTATGTCTTATCAAAGGCTGTGACCAGTTTTGTAGTGACTGTGTCTGTGACTGTGACTGTGCTCCTCCCCCGTTCCCAATTTCCCGCTGCAATTGCTCACGTCGTCCCCGTCGTAGTCGTCGTTGTGGCTGTCCAATTTCCCGAAATACATTTCGAATTATTTTCGTACACTTGCCAATTTCTTTGTGCAATCGACTGGCCAAAAGCGCAATTAACGAAGGCAACTATTGCAGCGATTTCTCGGGTGAACGACCAGGCCGTTGTTGGCCATAAACTTACCCATTGCACTGGCTGTCCGTTTAGTGTTGTTTCACTTTGCCAATTTCCCTCGGTTTCGATTGCGATTTGATTGCATTTTATCTACCAGTGTGTGTTGTGCTCGCCTTAAAGCTGGTTTTATGATGGAGAAGCAAACCAAAAGAACTGTTTGGTCCCATCCCGGGCTATCTTATCACCTCTGCTTCCTTTGGGACCGATCATCTCCAGACACGACGACAGCGACAGCCGGAGACGACGGTTTACGAGTTGAGGTTTAGAGCTTATCACGGGGCTTATCTAAACAGTTAGCTAGCTCTCTCTGGGCTCTCACCTGCTCTCTTTCTCTCTTTCTGTAGTTGCAGTTTGCTCTCCTGTAGTTCTCCATCTCCAGCTCCAGCTCCGGCAGGTGAATGGGTTGGTGGGCTGCTTTTGGCCAGCCATTCGCGAATTGTTGCTAAGCCTTGACGGTTGCAAAAAAAAAAATAAAAATAAATACAGAAAATCGTGCGTGTGTGATAACGTTATAAACCGAAAGGCTCTAAGTGGCCCAAATCGAATTAAGCCGACTTGGCGACGCGTGTAGAGCTGCTCTGCTGATCCTGCCTTAAGGGGGAAATATCACCCATCCTGTCCGTCTGTCCGCATCTCATCAAGGGTTGCATAACGAAATCAGTTGCTTCAATTATGCGTCAGCCTAATGTGATTTGCTTTGAAGGCACTTAAAAGCCTCTTTCCCCGAGGGGGTTTTTTCCCTCGGAACCCCTTTTCGCGGATGTTCTATGTGTGCCTGCTCCAGTTTTGCAGGTTGCCAGCTTGGCTATCGGGGCGGCACTTGAGTTAATTGATTAGTTCCAACGCCTTCTAGACAGGCCAATAAGTCAAGTCAACATTACCATTATCTAGCGAGATTCGTAGCCACTCAACAGAGTCCCAGTTCGGTACAAATTGCAGTTCGGCAAGGCCCACTATCTTTTGCGGGGCATAAACAAGCCGCCTCATCAGATTACCCAGAGATTACTCATGTGGCCGAAATGGTGTAGAATTTTCCGCAAATCAATAAACACTTGCCCGTGCCAGCGGTCAGGTGGCAATTAAAATTGGCCAATTGCCTTTCCTTATTCGTTATTTACCTCGCAATCGATATATATTTACAATGGAGGCTCAGAGTGTAGTCGGAATCGGGATTACTCATCCACTCGCGGGCTCAGTCGAGGTTGAGTAATTGAAGCTGCAAATGAAATTAGGCAAAAACAAAGGGCGATAGCGAATGAAAATTGGTACATAAAGTGACTTAATGTGCATTAGACATGCCATGCCGGGAACTAGTTCTCCAAACCCTCCACTCTCTCTCACTTGAGCTCTCCCCACACCACCCACAATGGGTTAATACCCGGTTTCAAGTGCCCGTGTCCTTGTCCTGGGAATCCTGCAAGCTGCCACTGATTTGCCGTTGTAATTGATTTTTTTACACACTCGAGGGGGAGGGAGCGGGAGAGGGAGAGTGTGTGAGAAGGACCAGCACCCGATGTCATTACCAGAGCACAGTTCACACTTGAAGTCGACTTGACCGCGCACGCTGGAGGCTCAACAATTCCCAGCTGCCCGTGTGTCGCGTGCTATAAATTTTATTGATTCCAAGGGGGGGAGAGTGGGTTTTCCAACGGGTGCTTGGTGGTGCTGGTGGTGGGTCCAGCGCATCGTGTAAATATATCCTTCCGCATTATGTTGCTGCTCATCCGGCAACAGTTTGGGCCGGCGCCTGCGGGTAGGCAGCGGCAGCGGCAGCGGCGACGGATTCAACCCTCCGCGAATGCGAAACCCTCCCCGGGCTTTTGCTCTCCGGATCGGGAACTGGCAACTCCGGGTGAAACTCTCCCAGCTGAGCGCTGAATTGTGGTGCGGCATTTGCCGGCGCTGTGGCCCTTGGGTGCGATGTGTGCTCTCAGTTCCTTTCGATTTGCCGATTCGGTTTGTTCGTCCTTTGCGCGCTAAAATATATCCTGCAGAGCCGCAGTGCCGCAGAGCAGGCATAGTACAGAGCACAGCAGAGCAGCTCCAGTAGTCAGCCAGCCGAGCAGCAGTCAGCAAGTCCTTTTTGCTCTCCCCCAAATAGCATCGCGTAGTGTTTGTTTAGTGTAGTATACATTTGGGCGCGGCAGCAGCAGCGAAAAGCAAAGCAAAGTTGTGAAAACTAAAAGATATATCCGATATATATACAAATATATATTGTTGCGTCCGCTATTTTGATACCAACGAAGAATACTAGACCACCATTACCAAGGAATCGGCCTAATCGAGAACCAAACCAAACCCGCGGAACCAACTAACGACTAATCATCAATCACCGAGAAAATCAAAAGCAATAAGCGTTAAGCGTTAAGCGTGTCTGTGTTTTTGTGGATCATCCTCCAGAGAGCGAGATCCTTGGAAGAGCTATAGCTGCATTGTGATTTCATTTTACCTGCAAAACGCGCAAAAAAAAATCAAACAGAGACTGGTCTCTCATTTTGTAACAGACCGACTCTTTGTGACCAATCAAACGCCAAATTTTTAAACGTTTTTTGACCAACAACTTTACTCTACAAATTAAAAAAACAACTCTTACTCTAACTCCACACTCTAAAATGGGTCTCTGCGCCTCCAAGGACAAGAAGGAGAAGGTGATCGAGGGCGAGGTGGCCAACGGCGGTGAGCCCAATGGCAGCGCCACGCCAGCCGCCGCCGGCGGAGGAGGAGATGGGTGTGTATCCTGGGTTTCGTTTCTTTTTTTTTTTTTTTTTGTTTTTGTGGGCCTAGGTCTCCTAGACGGCAGTTGTCTCTGGAGCAGCAGGAGGAGGAGGAGGGGGGCGGGGCTGACGTCATGTGTGTTTGTGTGTGTGCGTGTATGAGAGCACCCAAAAATAAAGTGCCATAAAAAAATTATTATTGCCCTGGTCCCTTGGTTTTGTCCAGGATTCTGTTGGCTGGGCCGGGTCACTGCCGCCGCCGCCATGTTGTTGTGCTGCGCATGTGCGGGGGGAGCGAGAGTCCTTCAGCGGCGGGGAGCGGGCGTGAATATATAGTGTAGTTGTCGATTTGCGTATTCAGCGGCAGCCGGCGAAATTTTATAGTCAGTCAGAGCCACCACCGAAGTCGGAGTTAGAGCCACCACCACTGAAAACGGGGCGTCATTGTGGGCAGGGGTGATGTGTGTGTTTCTGTGTGTGTGATGGGAGTTGGTGGGACCAAGGCTGTCGCGTGCCGGAGCCAAGTCGGGTATGCGAGCACATGGCCATAACCCGAAACTAATTGCGGGCCAAAAAACAGTCGGGGAACCGGGGAAACAGAAGCCGAAACAGAAACAGAAACTGAGGCCGACTTTTAGGCGCCACAAAACTGAGAACAAGCGTTAGCTAGCAATAAAAAAAAGCTTAAACTGTCTGTCGTTGTATTTTCCTCCACACCCCCATTTTTAAGAATGCCAAATGCCACGCCCTTTTACTAATGGTCAACCCCCTTTGTTTTTGTTATTATTATTTTGCAGCAAACAAGACACCATGGTTGATGCCGCTGTTCTCGCTAAACTGGAGGAGGGTTATGCCAAGCTGGCTGCCTCCGACTCCAAGTCGCTGTTGAAGAAGTACCTGACCAAGGAGGTCTTCGACAACCTAAAGAACAAGGTCACGCCCACCTTCAAGTCGACCTTGCTGGATGTGATCCAGTCCGGCCTGGAGAACCACGACTCCGGCGTTGGCATCTACGCCCCCGATGCTGAGGCCTACACAGTGTTCGCCGACCTGTTCGACCCCATCATTGAGGACTACCATGGTGGCTTCAAGAAGACCGACAAGCACCCGGCCTCCACCTTTGGCGATGTGGCCAGCTTCGGCAACGTTGACCCCACCAATGAGTACGTGATCTCCACTCGCGTGCGCTGCGGCCGCTCCATGCAGGGCTACCCCTTCAACCCCTGCCTGACCGAGGCCCAGTACAAGGAGATGGAAGGCAAGGTCAGCAGCACCCTGTCCGGCCTCGATGGCGAGCTGAAGGGCAAGTTCTACCCCCTGACCGGCATGGAGAAGGCCGTTCAGCAGCAGCTGATCGATGATCACTTCCTGTTCAAGGAGGGCGATCGCTTCCTGCAGGCCGCCAACGCCTGCCGCTTCTGGCCCAGCGGCCGTGGCATCTACCACAACGATGCCAAGACCTTCCTGGTCTGGTGCAACGAGGAGGACCATCTCCGCATCATCTCCATGCAGCAGGGCGGTGATCTGGGCCAGATCTACAAGCGTCTGGTGACCGCCGTCAATGAGATCGAGAAGCGTGTGCCCTTCAGCCACGACGATCGTCTCGGCTTCCTGACCTTCTGCCCCACCAACCTGGGCACCACCATCCGTGCCTCCGTGCACATCAAGGTCCCCAAGCTGGCCTCCAACAAGGCTAAGCTCGAGGAGGTTGCCGCCAAGTACAACCTGCAGGTGCGCGGCACCCGCGGTGAGCACACCGAGGCCGAGGGTGGTGTCTATGACATCTCCAACAAGCGCCGCATGGGCCTCACCGAATACGATGCCGTCAAGGAGATGTACGATGGCATCACTGAGCTGATCAAGCTCGAGAAGAGCCTGTAAATTGCCCGCACACCGCCGAGCATCGTCCCCCCAGCTGTGGTGCTGGTGAAAATCTCTGGGCGCCACCACCTGTCCACCATCAGTAGCCGCCAGTTGGGGCATCACGCAACAATCAACAACAAATAAACAAACAACATCAACAACAACAACAGCAGCAGCTGCAGCAACACTTAGAAATCTTCGGCTCGTCCGTCTCGTCGCTTTTGGACGGTTCGGGCTGCAAAAGTCTTAGTTTGTAGCGATGTGTAGTAGGTGTGGAGCAGCTGCTCTGTCCCAGCCCGGTGACCTTCGGCATTTTCATATACTTTGAGGGTCACGGGCGGGCGGACAGCCGAACCCAACTTGCAACACCAACAACACCACCACCCGCGGCAGCAGCAACAATGGATAAACTATTGGACAAGAAAAAAAAACATTTGCTTAATTACAACAACCAAACAATGTAAAACATTTTGACATCTGTGTCGAGCAAAAACAAAAAAGAAACTTTAAATACTTTTATTTTAAGTCTTAAGTTTATAAAAGAATTAAAATTATTAAAAAATAATACAAAAAAAATTAAATAAAATGGATAAGAGGTGTACTGTCTGGGGCAGATTTGGGAAGGTAATAAGTTTAAAGCTTTTTAAACTCAATTCATAGCATATTTATTGTTAAAAGAATTTGTAATTTAAAATTTAATTAACAGCAAGTAAAAGTTGTTGATGAATTTATGTACAGCCTTGAAGTATGTCTTCCCTACTTATTATCACTTGGTCTTGCCCTCGGCTGCTATCAAAGCTCGGATCCCGTCGTGCATCTCCTTGATGGTCTCTTGCTCGGTTAGACCCATCCGCCGCAGATTGGAGATGTCGTGCACCCCGCCCTTTGCCTCCGAGTGCTCTCCGTGAGTGCCGCGCACCTGGAGATTGTACTCGTCGGCAAGCTTCTGCAAATCCTTCGGGTTCTTGGTGAGGTTCGGTAGCTTAATGTGCACCGAGGCGCGAATGGAGGTGCCCAGGTTGGTGGGACAGAAGGTTAGATTGCCGAGACGTTCATCCCTGCTGAAGTCTAGCTGCTCAGCCAGTGCCTCCACGCCGGCAATCATGCGATCGTAGACCTTGCCCAGATCCCCGCCCTTCTCCATCGAAATGATGCGCATGTGGTCCTCCTCGTTGCACCAGACCAGGAAGGTCTTGGCCTCGTTGTGAAAGATGCCTCGGCCAGTGGGCCAGAAGCGGGAGGCGCCGGCTGCCGCCAGAAATCGGTCGCCCTCCTTGAACAGGAAGTGATCGTCAATCAGCTGCTTCTGGACGGCCGGATCCATGCCGGTCAGAGGGTAAAACTTGCCCTTGTGCTCACCGCAGAGGTTATTCAGGGCGCTGCTGATCAGGCACTGCAGCTCATGGTACTCGAACTCCGTCAGACAGGGATTGAAGGGGAACCCCTTGATCGAGCGGCCGCAGCGGACGCGAGTGGATACGATGTATTTGCCTTCGGGATCTAGATTTTCAAAGTCTGAGCCTTGGCCATAAGAGGCCTCCGGATGCTTGGCCGTCTTGCAGAAGCCCTTGTGATAGTCCTCGATGAGCGGATCGAACAGGTCGGCAAACACTGTGTACGCCTCCGGATCCGGGGCGTAGACGCCCACGCCGGAGTCGTGGTTGCACAGTCCAGAGTTGATGCAGTGCAGCAGCGTGGACTTGAAGTGGGGCGTTGTCTTCGATTTCAGCTTGTCGAAGATCTCCTGTGTCAGGTGCTTCTTCAGAAGCGACTTGGAGTCGGAGGCAGCCAGTCTCTTGTAGCCGTCCTCCATTTCATTCAGCACCTCCGAGTCGATTTCCCCTCCGCTGCACTGGCTGGCATAGCGATAATTTAGAAGCCGCCGCGTACAGATGCCTAAAATTTTTAGTCCAAAACGAGATTTTGTGTGTAACGACATTTTCGAAAGAGTTTTTGTTTTGAAATGCAGGACAGTGAGACAGTAGCTTCACTATAAGAAATATGCCAAAAGAAATCTGACATAAGAAGCAAATATACCATACTTATTTGCAATGTAAAATAAGCTTAATATATAAAAAGAAATGCTGAAAAATATGTTATTACAAAGATTGTATATAATGTTAATTTTTAATTAAATTAAGCTAAACAGACGACATTTTCCTTAAAAAAGGAACATTTTGAAATTTACACTGATTGTGTACTGTCTGGCAACGCTGGTTTCTCGAAATTTTAGAGTCTGGCAGCATTAGTTGGTCGAGAACGTCACAGTTTTGTTTCGAATTCGAACGTTTTTTTTTGACACCCTTGCCGTGTGGCGCTATCTACATCTTGCTGTTTGTTTTTCAAGTCCAGATGGCGCTATTGCAGGTTGTTGAGAGAATTTTTAAACGGAATTTATTCATTTAATCAATTTAAAATTATGTTAATAAACAAATTAATTTAAATTGAAAACAAAATAAGTTTAAGAATAAGTAAAGGAATATTTACATAGCTCTATTAAAACACAAAATTAAGAGGATCAAAAACTACTAAAAAAAGGCGTATCTAAAAATTAATATACAGGTATTTTTTATTATTAATTAAAGTAGGGGCAAGCTGGTATTTTTGCAAGTCGGCCTATAAATATATAAATAAATTATATAATTATTTAAGCTTATAGTTTGTACTAATATCTATATCTTTTCTATTTAATCTTGCAGAATAAAATATAGATTTGGTGTGGAATAACAAGTAATGCCGTTTAAATTCCGAATTAAATTATTAATACAAAAATAGGTGTGCTAAATATAATAAATACTTCGAGCCTTAAATAAATAGCTGCCCCCACTGCTCGACCTGTTCTCGTTCGCACAATTTAATTAAATGTTTGCGGCCGTTGGTTCGATCGTAAAACAGAATACGACAACATTTTTATAGCTTAAAGCTTAAATACCAAATCAAATATATTATAATTAGCAATAAAGCGCAACAAAAGCAGCGGAGGCTGAGGCTCAGGCTGGGGCAACAACTACACCTTAGCATGTGGCGCAAATAAAATTCAGATCTGAACGGCAACACCTTCTCAATAAAGCATCGTTATCCTCATTATCATTATCAACAGCTTTGACCGCAAACCGGATTTGGATTTGGAATTAAAAATTGGGCATGGTTCGGGCTATATGTAGGTATAGGTTTTGCGACCAACCGACCGACCAACCTACACATAAAAATTCATTAAGTATATTAAAACAAGCGCAAATTAGAAATGCAATAGCGATTTCCATTTTTATCGCATAATCTACGAATTTTGACGCTTTTTGCCACCGTTTTTGTCCAAAGAAAGAAGCCAGTCGCAAAAACAAAGCCAGCATTTAAAAAACACTTCTGAGGCGCAGGCGCAGACGCCGACAACATTTTATGTTTTTTTATGTGTCGCTTAGCCCCCCTCCTTTGTTTTTAGTGAAAACGTGCAAATCCCATAATTTAATTGTTTCAGCCATTCAGACATTTCGAATGCAAATTTATGCGGCAACAAATCCAATCGAAGTGGAGAGAGAATCGTTAAGCGCTAATGCCAACAACTAAGCCCAAATTAGTCAAAGCCGCCTTCGGACGCGGCTTCGTGTGGCCAGTGAATTATTTCGCGCTGCCTCGGATTACATTATGCAAAGTTTTCTATGAATGAAAGCCACCGGAGTTTCGATCTCCCTTTGAACAGGCCGCCAGTTAGATGATTCTCTACCAATCCCTCGCGCTCTCTCTCTGTGTGTATAGTCTGTGCTTCTGGGCCGCACTTAAAAACTTAATTAAAAATATTAAACACGAAATGTTTGGCGCCACCGTTTAGGAAGCCCTCAAAGTGGACCGCACACATCAACGGCCGGCAAGTTATCAGCTCAATTATGCAAGCTGAAAGGCAGCCGCCGCCGGCCCACAGACAGATTTGTCGCATTTGACACGATAATGCAGCCGAAGGAGTGACCACACCAAAGTCGAGACCCAGGTCTCGGCCACAGCCACAGCCTCCGACTCCAACATGGACGCAGTTTCTTGGCCAGCTCCCACTTCGGTTTCGGCCATAAAAGGTGCGATAAAACGAAAATTTCACAAGGCGGCCAGCAGTGGCATATGCACGGAGAGAAATTACTAAAGGACTTGCCACCGAGAAATTAGAATTCAACATTAAAATATAGTAAAGAAATTAAGCAAAATAGTTGCAGAAGAAATTGTAATTCTCAAAATATCAAGGAGACATCTCTGGACCTAAAAATTATATAGTTTCTTTATTTTCTTCAGCATTACTCTCATTCTCAGCAGTAAAGTCAATCTAGACTCTCATTCTCAGCAGTAAAGTCAATCTAGACTTAACCTGTCCATTTTTATACAAAGCAGTTTCTCAATAATGGAGTTACCTAGTTATAGCATTAAATTTCTAGTAAGCTTCCTTGTATTGCAGACACTATATAAGTAAGAGCGAACCAGATCGAAAAACTATATCAAATAGGTAAGTAACATATAAAATATCTCAAAATTTAAATATTAATCAAAGCTGAATTTAAGTCACAATAACAGAAACTACTCTCCTACAATCCAAAAATTCAATCCAAGTACATAAAGCCCCAAGAATCCCACACTCCATCCTAATTTCTTCCTGTGTACCTAACTCTGCGTCATCTGTTAGTCGGGACGCTGTGATGGGTTAGCCGGGGACTTGGGTTCGGCAAAGACCAAACGGCCTGAAAGCCGTCAAATCGCTGCTCATAATGGACGCCTTATCTTTGGGGAATTGCTTTAACTACTACCGGAGTTGGATGTGTTTCAGATACACTCGCACATGTGCGGATCGAGAATCGAGAATCGAGAATCGGCCGGCTGGTCACCATAATGGAGAGCATTAATTTGTTTTAGGCCCGCCAAAGCGCCGAAGCCGTCGCAAACGGCTTTTGGCTTTGGCTTTTGGCCAAGATAACCAAACCTGTAAAAACGGAAATGCTGAAGGTTGCCCCTAGTTTTGCATTTTGTATATGTTTTCTTCTTTTTTATTTCGACCAAAGACTCTTAAAACGAATTAACAAAGTATAGTAAGTATGCGATTAGGTCCTAGACAAACTTAAAAGTAGTAGACGATGATATCTTACAGGGTATATGCACACGTTTCTCACTGATCACAACAAGAGATGGGACTCCGCCTAGAGGTTTCCCTTGGGAAGGAAAGAAGGTTTTTCAGTAGGCCAAAATGGCTGAAATGCTGAAGCTGTTCCTTTTCGTAGAGGTCGAAGGTCTCGGCGAGATTGTGCTTGTGCTGGAGGTGACTACGGAAGCTGGAGCTGGAACTGAAGCTGGTACTGGAGCTGGAGCAACAACTGGAGCTGGACTGACAGGACTAACAGCAGCTGGAGCTGGCACATAGAGCGACGGAGGCAGTGGCACAGCCTGGACTCCACCGAAATAGGCAGCAGCAAAGTTGGCTCCATAACCCAATCCCGGATGGCGTTGATATGGCGACAAGGTGGCTCCCGGACTCAAGGCAGACGGAGCCGAGTAGTAAGCCGGAGAGCAGCTGCCCGTGGAGTCCTGCTCAAAGTCCTGGCGCTGGCGCTTAGCCTGAGGCGAGTCACAGCTGCTCACGCTGGAGCCATCGTCCTCGGACTCCAAGCTAGAGTTGCCGCTGCTGTTCATCTTCCGCTTGCAGCGGGACTGACCCGATTCACGGAAGCCCTTGGCAAAGGGATTGTTGTCGATCTTCAGTTTGGTGATGCGATCGTTCTGCAAGGATAAAGCAATAAGAAATTATAAGTAAATATAAAAGAAATTTATATCATTCGATTTAGCTGAAAGGACAAAGATCCGGTTAGTGTTTCTTTGCGAGAGAAACAGGATCTCGGCGGCGTCAGTGAGAAGTAGCCGTCGGCTGTGAAGGCACTTGAAAACTTTGACGCCAAGTCTCGTTAGCATCGTCTCATCTCAAGTGGCCTGGGCGAGGCGACAGTTTCCAAATGCCTCAATTAGCCGACGACCCCCGCAGAGCTATTGTCCTGTCTTCAATGAGATGATGAGGACTATGTCCTGGCACCCACCTGATAGGCCGTGACAGCCACGAATTCCGTCTCCGGAAAGACGAACGCCTGCTGCGGAGCCCAGGGAAGCTGGGTGAGCTCATTGCTGCGGATGATGTGCAGGCGTGGCTGGTACTTATGCATGCTGGCCAGGACGATCTGTGGGGTCAAAGGTATAGCTGTGATAAGTAATCGGGCAAGAGTATCAGGAGAGTGTGCTCAACTTACGTGTCCATTGCTGTCCAGGGTGTTGTTCGTCAGCTTCACCTTGTTGAAGAGCAGCGCCTGCGACTGCCAGTGGGCACCGGTGGCGGGGCTATCCGGATGCAGATACATCCGCTGGGGACTCTGGGGCTCGGCTCCTCCAGCTGGCACCCACTGCGAGCCGGAGAACTTGTAGCGACAGTCACCGATGGGCACCATCTCGAGGAGGACGCAGTAGCTGGCCTCCTCCTCCAAGCCGCTGAGGGAGACGCGCATCGAGGGGAACATGCGTCTGCAAAGGAAGAGAGAGAGAAAGGAATGTTGATTAAGTGGCTGCCATGGACTGCATATAAATCAGAGTGCAACGCTAGAGATCCCTCGATCCCGATCATCTCCAAAGGAGGCGTCACCCGGGCATCTATTCCATTTTTTTCCTTTACTTTTGATTTGTGGCCACGGCTAACAAGTGTGGAATTATGGATCGATGCGGGGCAGCGGGGAGTCTCGCATCGATTTAAAACGTAACGCAAACAGATCTTTGCCAGCCCAAAACAATATGCCACCGGCACATGATTAATTGTGCGGCAAATCGATGGATCAGTGGATATGGATGGGGATGAGGAGCAGGAGCAATCAGAGATTCGGCGGGGGGAATCTGGCGCCAGGCAATTAGACAAAATCTGGGAGTCGCCTTAACGGCTTCCAAGCGACGAATGCATGTCTAATGAGCCGAGAAAGTGACTGTGATTGCGTATAAAAGCACACTGAGAGGAATTTTGGGATATTCAATAGGAAATTCAAAAGGTTATTTAATATCTAAATATCAGTATACCTAATTTCATAGAGATCGGATAAGTTTTAAGGACACAAAATAGCTTTCAACTTCTCTCCAGAATACTTCTTAAACGTATTTTCTTTTCTAAGTGTTTTGAATTTAATTTCTATCCCAAAATGTATACATTTTCTCTCCGTGCATTGATCACAACTCTAACTGCTAGTTCAGCTCATAATTATGTAAATTTGTCTCGGCTCCCGCTCGGTAGTCGCTCGAAGATAGTTCCCCTATCGGAGAGACATGTTTAGGGTCCGGGTTTGAGTCCGATGCTCTCGAGACCGAGAAAGAAGGGTCAGGGCAGGGCATTGTGGACAAAGTGTGAAAAGCGCAGGTAGATCGACCAGACTCGATTGTCAACGCCGAAAACCGACAGAAGAATGAGATTTTTATGAGCGGTTCGGCGCCAGGGCGGCGTCTTCGCCTCGATCTTCATGAACTTGTTGTCACTCCGGACGAGCCGGGCTCCTGCTGCGTTTTGAATTATGGCCAGGCGCCACATTAGGGCCCAGGGAAAATCGACATTCGACATGGAAATCGAAAGGGACCGCGTAGACCGGGAAAACTCGGCCTGGCCCTGGAACAGGAGCAAATATTTACATAGGTCGCGCCGGCGCACTTGACTCTGTGAGCAATCGTGGAAAACTCGGCGCTCTCCCGAACCGGGAACTGGGAACTGGGAACTGGGAACTGGTATTTGCATAGGATAATGTGTTCGCGGGAAACCTACCTGCCGCTCTTTGTGATGATCATTTCGGTGCCGATCTTGTGGAACTGCTGCCACAGATCGTTGTTCTCCAACTTGGCATCCACGCCCGGCAGGGTGGGGCGGCTGGGCAGCATCATTTGCGGCTGGTGGGGCATGTTGAAGGGCAGCATGGCCGGAAAGGGATCTGGAAGAAGCGGTTTGGTTAGTTCGTTAGCTGGATATTGCCAGAAGATCCCAGGGATCATCTGGGAGAATGTGTAAGTTCCAGGAATGGCTCGGACTGGGGACTGTTGACTGCTACTTTTGGCAGATTCTTAACTTTGAGTTTAATGTGGGGTTTAAATAAGCATTATGTGTTCAAGTTCTGGTTAAGTTAATGTTGTAAAAATCTGTTGTAAATCAAAATTTAAGTTTTTGTTAGTATCACTTTTAAACCCTTTTTATTTAAAATACTATTTATTCATTTACATGTTTTACTTTTCTTGTTAATTTAACCATTACATTTTACTGTGACATATCGATTGACTTATCCTGCGGTTAAGCTTATAATGCTTAAAATAATGTTTAACTGAAGATTAAAGCTATCTGTTAATATTTACTTTTAACAAAGTAAAATTCTTGATTTAATTAACAGCCTAATAAATTTGCACTTTCAGTTTATTAGTTCAAACTATTAAATAGATCATTGAATTTTCTTGAATAATTTTATATTAAAAACCACTTTCAACCTTTCAAGAACTTCTCACTTAACCCTTTTCTATATTTCATAACACCTAACTTTGCCGACGGCACCTGATCACTCCCATATACGAAGATATCTCCAATTAAAAACCCACCTGGAATCCGCTGCATAATCTGCTGGCGATAGATCTCATGGGCCAGCTGCTGCTGCATCCGCATATCCATTAGCTCTTGCATGGAAAGCATTTTGAATCACTGGCACACAAATTATGTGGATACGACGGAACACACACTTGAAGAGGTAATTGTTTGTACTGTTCACTGGACTGAGTTAATCTCTCAATTCACTCTTGATGTCACTTGATAGCTGAATGGGAACGGAGGTAGCGCTCTGAGGGGTTCTGGCACGCTCGACGTTTCGCAACGAACTGATCTCGAGTCGGTCCGCTCAAGTGCTAACTCGCTGCTGGCCGCAGCCAGTTTTTCTCGGCTTCCTCGAATCATCAGCAGCCGGGGCTACCTGCCAAACTGGTTTTCTGGTGAAGATTCCCTGTGATTGGCCCAATGGCTACGCCTACGCCTTGAAGCTATAGTCATCCCACTCTGGCGGAGATCGGAACTGTATGGTTTGGGACGCCATTTTGTGGGCAGGGAGCGAGGATCGAGGAGTGGAAAGCGATAGTGGCGAAGTTAACGCTTAGCCCTGTTGATTTTCATCAGCCGCAGTGTTTTTCTGCGCCGCTGCCTCGGATCTCCTCTCTCTCTCTCTCTCTCTCCCTCTCTCTCTCGCTTCCTCGCACTCGATCACTGTCAGTCAGGGAATGGGACTTGGACGTGGACGTGGACGTGGACGTGGATGTGGATGTGGCCATGGCGTTGCCTGTAATTCAGAAGTGAGATTTTCCACAGCGCGCCTGTCTGCTGTCTTCAGCTGCCTTTTCTTCTCCTCTCTTCTCTCTTTTATTTTCTTTTCTTTTTTTGTAGTCTGGTATCTTTTCTTTGTATTTCTTCTTATTTTTTTTTTGGCGCTGTCGGAAAATGTCCGTTGCCATTTCCCTTTGCAGCCGTCTTCCGTTTGGGCCTTCTCCCTGCCTGCCCCGTGTAATTAGCCGGTTTCCCTATCGCCTATCGCCTGTCTCCCCTTGTGTATTTTATGTACTTTTATGTGGACAGGTGAAACATAAATTTTGTTGGCTTTGTTAATTGCCCGTTTTGGATGGAATTTCGATAGGGCCTCCCTTTGGCTATTGATTTGCTGACCCAAAAATTACTAAAGAATCGATAAAAACAAAGGTAAATTCCATACTGCAACTGGCTGGAGGGCAATTAACCTATTGATTAGTGCTTGTCAGCATTGGAAGTGTCTGCCAGTGGAGGTGGATTGGAATTCTGTCCCATAATGATCACAGGAAGTATTTTAATTGCATCTTAATGAGTTGCAGATCATTAAGAACAAATTAGAAAAGTTCACGCGTTGTCTTGGAGTCCTTTGAGTGGCTCGGGTTTTAATTTTGCTATTCAGATCTTACTAAACATTTTTAAAATGATGTTTATGTTTTAGATAATTTTAAGTCTGCTTGAGCCGTGACTCTTTAATTGATAATACACAAGCCTTTAATTTTAATAGTTTAAGGTCCATGGTTTTACTTTAAACTGCTTAAAAAAATGGTTAAAAAATATGTGTTTTTCTGATATAAAATATACATATATCAAATGCTTATACAAAAGCTAATGCTATTGGTTATACTTTAATCAACTTGATGAAAAGTTTAAAATTTATTTTATAGTCGTTAAGAACATAAAATATTAGTTAATCATGTATCTATAAGGACTTTATTTGATTTCAAATAATTTAAATATTTTTACCCATTCGGGGATTTTAATTTTAGTCAAAAGCATGCAACGCAGTGAAGGAGTTATTTCCGACCCTATAAATCATATATATTCTTGATCAGCATCAACAGCAGATTCGATCTAGCCATGTCCGGTTAAAAATAATTTTTTCAAACAATTTTCGAAATTGCAAAATTGTATAATAAATTGAATTTCTTAAATTCTAAAACATAGTATGCAGATTTGTTAGCGTTTTAAAAACAAACACAGAAAAGCTTTGCGAATTAAAATTATTACATCTTTGGCTTAGTTATGAGTTTTTAAAATTTTATACAAGTAACCCCAAAGTAAGGATATTAAAACATTGATTTCCTTTATTATAAAAATGACACTAAGTTTGAGAAGCCGAAGTTTATATGTATACCCAGCATCGGAAACAGATCATAACTAAACTAAAAATATTTGAATCGATACTTATTGATATTGGTAGACGATGTTTCTAAACCAAATGTATATATTAAAATTAACAATTTTTTTTCCTTTTTTCATTTTAGAAATAAATTTTACCATTAAATGCTGTGCATGCCATTGATCTTGAAATCCAAGTGCATCCCACAGACCTGAAAGGGGCAATCCCCAGAACTCAGACTCCTTCTGCCGCAGACTTCTTCTAATTTCAGGCTTGAGTGCACCTCCAATTGACTAGAAAGAAAGTCTGCCAAATCTCGTCTCGGCCACGAAGTCCATTAAATTAGCATTTCGATGTCGTGGTTCCCGTTTGGCACGCTCTTCCAAATGATTGCCATTCCCATGTCTCGCACTCTGTGCCTCCGGATCCAGGCGAGACGGCATATCTCCGGTCTCTCCCAGTCAGCGGAGAATGATTATAATAAGGATGACTTCTTGACATCGACGACGGGCGCCAGAGGATCGTAAAATAGTCGTTTTCTCAAAAACAAAAAATAAAGTACGAGACAAGTTAGGACAAAGGATTTGATAGGAAATTGTAACGCTTCACGCCTGCTGAAAAAAAGGAGCCGACAAAGGACCGACAAAGGATATCGTGGCATAACTCAGGTGTAATTGCGTCACGTAATGCGGGCAAGATCGGGCTGGGAGTGAGCTGGACTAGATCGGAGACGGAGACACAGAAGGAGACCACTTTTCCCAGTCGCAACTAGAACAGGTCGTTTTGCGGCATGTCCTTTCCATTTTTGGGTGTGAAGTGTTCCTCAGGCGGCATACTCATGATGTTACGTACCTGAACCCTGAAGCCTGTCGCCAATTGAAGTAATAATTTTCTATTGTCCTCCGAGGAGCAGGAGACGCGACAAGTGGCCTGGCTCTCTCAAGTACAAGTTGGCGCCAGACGATGTCCCGGTGTCCTTCATCTTTGTGAGCAGCGCTATCTGCCGCCTTGCATCTGCAGATGCTGAACGGTAGCCGGTCAAGCTGCCAGAGAGGTTGACAACGACATGTGTTCGTTTCGGGGCTGGATAAGATTGGACCAGAGCTACCAGTTCCCTCGCTCCCAGCTTCTGTTCGGTGTGTGGGAGGGGATTCATTGGGCTCAAATCGATTGGAAGCTTTGATAATTAACATATAACCCGCAGATCGGCTAGCCATATTCATATATTAAAAGACCATCAGCTTATTAATACCCATAATCAATGGGGACAGGCCACATTTTATGTTTGACAGATCAATAAATCATGGAGAACCCTAATTAACCCGCTCGGACCCGAGTGTCACCTGCCTGGTGAGCTGCCAAAACTACAAGTTACACATAACTAGCCAGGGCAGAGATACCCATCAAGACAAAGCAAACGTCATAAAATAATATAAATGATATAAACGACACTGTCTGCGCCTAATAAGCAATGGGTGTGTCTCAAGTCTGAGATGCAGAGGCTCGGACTCATACCAATCCAAATCCAAATCCTGGGAAAGATGCTAGCCACGTGATAAAGTTAGCTGGCAGTCGCAAGTCGTGGCATATAGGCGCCTGCAACTAAATGCTAAACGAATTAACCCGCTGATAGAGATCTTCCCGGCTTTTTTTACTGGGTTTTCTGTATTTTTTTTTCTGTTCCTCCTGGGGTTTTTTTTCGGTAGATACTACTAAGCCACAGCTCAAGGTGCGTTGAGCATCATTAAGACAGAGTCTGAGACAGAGGCAGCTCCGGGACTCCGATGATTTAATTTTCCAACACGCTTTCTACCACGCCAGCATACTACGAGCCCAGCCAAGCCAAACCCATCTCCATCTTAACTCCAACTCCAACTCCAACACCGATCTCTGAATCTCAGTTTTGGGCATTTGTCGGATGATCGATGGCCTGTCGTTGAGATGATCACTTGCCGTGGCTGCTTAGCGGCTACTAGTTGAGATACTTAACGACGACGACCCGGAGAGGGCGCCATCGGGCCTTATAATTTGTTAAGATGTTTTGGGCGATCGATGGCTGGATTGATCACCTCTCTCCCGGCGAGATTATGTATATTTCTCACGGCAAAAGCGGGGGTCTTTCTATCTCCATTTCCATTTCCATTTCCCTGGATGCATTATGGCGCCCGCAAGTGCTTTTTTGGGCTACCGATCATCGCCGCGATCTCATCTCATCTGGCGTAGAGAGACGCCAACGGGGGCTTATCAGCAACTCGGCATCTGGAAACATTAAATAGCTACTTAAGATACAGCTTCGGTTGCAGAGTCCTCCTAGCCGGAGGTATCGATTTCCAGGGACCAAAAGCCCCTATTCCAAACCCGAAAGCAATTGACCTGAGCCCAACAGAAGTCGAACGGTGTAATCGATACGATCGGCGCAATCATCGCGATCAGTGATTGCCGATTGCTGATTGCTTTGCTGATCTTTTGCCAGGCACAAATTTAGCAAATAGTATCTGAAAACCCGACTTTGTCGGCATTTCTATGCCGGCCTGTGATCACCGATCGGCTCACAGATCTATGATAGCCCCTCGCCGCTTGCCGTTTGCCATTTGCCAGGCGGAACCTCCCTCCTCCTCCTAAAGTATCTAACAATCTCTACACAGCAGAAAAATAATATACATTTATAAATTTAAAATACTACAATTTATATTATTATACATATTAAGGGACATTCATGCCCTCCAAACTGAAACCTAAAATGTAAAATTTAATGCTTAAAACATACCCTTAACTTAGTCACCTTTTGAACAACACAAAAATATACTTAATCATTTATTAGCATTTAATAAAAATTTTTGGGTCTTATAAATAATTCATTTTATATTGGTAACATATAATATATTCATGATATGTCTTTTCTAGCCGAAATAATAATAAACATCACACAAATAAAATACATTTTAAATTCACACATGAATGCATATTGAATGTGAATTTTTTATATCTTATAAAGAGTTATTTGGTAT